TTTCACAAAACAAATCTCATATCTAATTTGCATACGAGGTACTGATTGTTTACATTGTACATGTTTTACATTGCTGTAATTTAAATATCTTTTGTTATCTTACAAAAATTAAATGTTTATCACTTAATTTAAACTTTTATATAAGTAAGTAGTTATATATTTTGTATTTAATAAAAGTATTTATTAATATATATGTTGCAAAAACTGATATGTAATATTACATAGTCAATAGTACACCTTATCTTACCCTCCCTAATAAAATGGGTATGTTTTTGAAATTTTAACTGTTTTCCTGTCTGTTTATCTGTCTGTCTATATGTTTATTCGGATATCACGCAAAAACTACTTCACTAAATTAGATATGATTTTCACAATTGCTTTCTTGAAGGCGTAACGTAAAATCTGGTGTATGTTTTATTTTGATATGCCATTTAGAAATTGTCCATTTCATTGGTTTTCTTATTTTTGAAATCTATGTGTGTGAAGTAGCAGGCAAAAAGCTAGTATTCATGTATTCGTAAACAGAGGCATCAACTGTACGGTGCAGGGCACTCATGGCGCTAGATATCATAATGTGACTAAAATAATGACCAAATCTTATTATCTGTTCAGCAAGCAGTGTCAGTTTTTCAGTTAAAATAATGGTGACGTACCTACCTAATTATTAAAAGAGTACCCACGAGGTTTTTTAGAAGCCAGCATCCCTGAATATATATTTACGCAGGCAGGTGTGAATGAAAAGACAGATCAGTTAGTCGTGATGAATACACCTGAAATTCAGCACGATGGATACCAGGACCACGTGGAGGTTGACCTAACAGAGTATATTGCTAGCAATTTAACTGGTAGTCCGTATTATTAACAATCCCTTTCCCTCAATCGTCACCTATTAATACGAACAGCATTTGCAGTTAATATTCAAAATTTAAATTATGTTACAAAATAGTTTGAATATACATTCAATAATACCTACGTTCTATTTTCAACAGTGGAAGATAATGAATCTCGTGTTATCGGTACCACAATTCGTGGCTAGCCGTCTCCCGCTATTTACCGGTACTATTCAGTTTAATTGGATACACATCTCTCGATATCCTTGTGGCGAACTCTCAGGTGGCAACGTGATATTCAATTAGGTATTCCTTAGTCGGAATTACGTAGATACCTAAATCCTTAACCCGCCTCAATTGGAGTTAACTCCAAACAATCAGCTAATGTAAACAGCGGTACCGATTCGATTTATATCTACGTATTGTTTATATGATATATTTGCTTTCATGAATACGTTAATTAATATATTCGTATTATTAGTGATACTGCAACAATACATTTATTGTTGGATCGACTGCTATAAAGTATTTTATATTGTCTTCCATTCCAAATGCTATGAGTATACTAATTTTCATGACGATTGGAGACGCTAAAAGATAACAAATAAAAAAAAAAACTCACATTTATAATATTAGTATTATTATATCATTCAATGGGAAAAAATGTCTTTACGTATTATGTACTAGCTATATACTGTGTGAACTCCTATGAACTTTGTTCTCGACTTAGGATTGATGTAATAGAAAAAATGTTTTTTTTTTATCTCCGAAATTAGTAATTTTTATTTTTGAGAATGTTTGGATATTAGTTTTTTTCTCATGTTTATTAACACGAGAAAGTGTGGCGTATTTGTTCCGAACCTCTGCATATATCATATTTTTTGTGTGTCAATCACAGAATTAATCAAGAACGAAGTAGATACGATCTATGACTGATATCATCTCAACAAGAACAAAAAAATTGTCATTTACTTTGTCTAGTTTTTAATTAATAAAATCCTAATAATTCTATTTAAATAATATAGTGAGTTTGTAATAATATGCATTCATATTTTAATATATTATAATTTATATTCATTAAGAAGTTTAGGTAATAATTCCTTGGATAATTAATTCACAAAGTTTAAAGGCTTCATTTGGTACTATCATACATAGCAACTATGATAAGAGAAGGAAGCCACATAAGTTGCACAATTGATTGATATTGTATTTTGAGGTTTGTAATTTGGGTTACAACAATTTATCTTTATTGCATGGTTATATTATAATAGTACGGTAATATTGTACGATTTTTTCGTAGGAATATGTATAACAAGAGAGCAAAATGTGCGCAAATGTATGAATATTATTTTAATTTTGGCGTGTTAAGGTCTATATATACGTTCGTGTTTCCCCATTATATCGTGACAAAATACTTATGATGTATTCAAGATGTATATTATTTATTTATATGCTTTTGTACATTCACTTATAGTATAGATATTAGGTTACAGCAAAAATGTACACAGGCGGCTTATCCCTTTTTTGAAGGGATTTCTTCCAGTCAACCTTCCGAACGCAAAAGGAGAAAGTGTCTATAGGGTTTGTATATTAAGCATAACATATATGGTGCAAAAATAATACGATAAATAATAAATTATTAGTAGTTATATAGTTAGTAACAGAGTGTGGATAAATAAAATTATTTATTTATATATATAAATATCAACATATACATATACATTTAGGTACATACATTAATACAACTAAATATGTATAAACATAGATTAACTATAAGTAACTTAATTGCCAATTGTACTGTAAAACACTTTTGAGCTTTGAAGTTTTTCAAGCAACTTGAAGCTAGTCACGCTTGTTATAAGGTTTAGACTGATGGTAGCTTGGCTGGCTGAAATAAGGTTGAACGCAATGATAGCTGGCTCATCCGTCATGCTCGTGGACGAGTGCTACAGGGATTCGTCTGCTCTTGTTTACTTTAATTGAATTCGTCATCATATCAGCCGTTAACGCTGAGAATGGGGAACGTCGATAAAGGGAAGTTTTGCCAGTAGCTGCCACGTTTGGCAGACGGGTTAGCAACCGCAGTTAGCCTTTGGTGACGTTGAGACAGTGCTGCCCATCCCTCCGTTATTAAATTCCCTTAGTCATCTCTTACAACACCCACGGGTGAAGACAAGAAGGGGTGGTCCATTCTATGTTGGGACCACACGGCGAATATTTATTTTTATTATTCACATTAAATAATATCTACAGTGCTAAGTATAGTCAGAGTAACCATACAAATGTAAAATTACTTTGTACATAAATGAATTTAAAAAGGTAACTCTGGATTTCTTGCGAGTTTTTCTCGCATAATAACATTCTGAACTCAATAATATAATAAAAAAATGACGACTTAAAAGAGCTTTATTCAAATAGACATCTATTTGAATAAAGATTATTTCTATTCCATTCTTTCTATATTTTCTACATATAAAATACTTTTATCATTATTTAAAACAATTTATATTAAATTTATAATAATTTACATTTAATATTAAAAAAGTCCACATTTTCTTTTATTTTTTATGCCTCTGTCAGTCTGTCAATGTTCATATATTATACATATCGTAAAAAAAACTGTATACCTATGGAGAATCCGAGCATGTCGTAAAAATAAATGTATGGAGAAACTCACCACGTATGGTGGTCTGATTGCTGGACCGTGCTCATGAATAAGTGACCAGTGAGAGAATGGATCTTACATCTTATTAATATTATAAATACGATACTTTATAAAATGTTTAGATACTTATTCATTTGTTTGTTTGTTATTCAATTACGTAGAACAAGCTGAACAGCTTTGAATATAATTTAGTACACATTCCATATCTTAGTTAACATAAGACTCTCTCAACAAATTCTCAACAAATTTTACCCTGGTTTAGCCGTGGGATATAGGTTCTACCTATGTATATCCCATTTCTACTTAAACTAATCATCATATTAACCTTTAACTGTCCACTGCTGAATATAATCCTTCCCCTTGTGGGGGTTTTCCTAGTAGTTGCCACACTTGGCAGGCGAATTGGCAATAATAAAATAGCAACGCATATATCATGGGCGAAATAGTGTACTCTGTTATATTCATGGTACTGCTCATGTCTATAGGCGATGTTAACCACTTTCCACCAGGTGGGCCGTCAGATTGTTTGCCATTCTAAGTTGCATAAAAACACGAGCGTAACATGAGGTATTAGTAAAAACGTGAATTGGTAGGATCGACTACTGAACAGTTTCTAACTGTTGTCTGACAACAACAATTAATGAGGAACGTAGAATAAATGTAAATAATGTTCATATGCTTCAATAATAATATCTGCATTTCAAATCTACGCCGTCGCAATCTCGAATACACCGAAAATAAACGTTTGTGATATTCAGTACTGCAATGCGTATATCTCGAGGAAGGTTTATGTGAATTAAACATGATTTTTTTAATGTCCTGAATAACGGGGTAACATGTGCGCCTTTCGTATCCTGTACCCACCCTTTCCCGAGGAATACTGACAACCCTAATTACCACAAGAACACGCCGTTACAAAGTAGCGTTATTTGTTTGCGGTCATTTGTGTGGTGCAAGTTTTTCCTTAGCTTTATAATAATATTAGAGAATTATATTAATGCACTGCGTCTATTAAAGTTTATCATCGAACGATTAGGAATGATTTATTATTAATTATTATTATTTGTTTTTATAGTACAATTATTACTACGTAATTTTAACTGGCTGAGGTTGATCATATTATTTTTAAACAATTTTGCTAGTATTAAATAAAAATCCCTGAAATTCCAGCTTAATCAAAACTTTTGCAATGGGTATACAAACAATTTACTCGTTTTATATATATATGTATATGTAAATATATAGACACATTACTTCTTTAGGGTATATATATATTCTATCCTAGTTTGAGTAATTTCTCGTCATTTAAAATAGGGACGAATTTTTATGAAATTGTCATTCTCCCTGCATATATGATATATACTTGTATCATTAGTAGTTTAGCCAAAATTCTCCATAATAAATATAATTACTAAGTAAATAAATTGCAATATATCATGCAGAAATAATACATTTATCATTATTATTTAAAAAAAAATTTTAAAAACTGTTAACATTGTCCATAGTGGTAGCAGAGGAGGCCTCCGGCGGCGGTCGACGTACGCCAGTGGTCGGCTACGCTCCGGGCCCCATTGGTCGTTCGTGTTTGACCCTGCGGGCCGTTTGTGCTACTACTGGTCCATGGTTGTTTCCCTTGCCTTCCTATACAACCTTTGGGTCATCGTCTATAGGTTCGCCTTCCAAGAGATTAATGGTAAGTAATTTAATATATGCATGCACTTATACCTAGAAACTTTGTTTAAGTGGGTTTTCTTTTATTATTTATACTGAAAAAGTTTAAACTGCTTGAGTGCTTATAAATTTTGTTAGCAATTATATATGTTAACTCACGGTTAATTAACCCACAGGATGGTACGAAACAAACAGTTAAAGCAGTTAAAGTACCAAGTTCAGTTGTTTCCGACTGTTTGATGCAATTTGATTGTTTTAGCCAAAAAATTTTAAATATAAATCCGAATAAAACAGATCAGACCCTTTCTATATTTTGCATGTAAGGATAAATACTTAATATTTATGTGAATATTATAAACATTGTTGTTTTCCAAATTATATTAATTTACAAGTTAAATCATTCATAATAAAATTTAGCCAAAAAATAATTTTCTAATAAGTGTAGAGTGATTTGATATTGCCATTTTCCTAAGTTTCTAACCATAAATAAAAGGGAGCTTAAGTTGAATTACAGTTTCATTATGCGTAGTTATATATTTTACTTTTTTCATGTTCTCGCAAGATAAAACGTAACTTGTTTACTTATCTCTCCCGCAAACAAGATAAACGGTACTAAGTTACTATTAAAGCTATTCTCTTTCAACTGAATTTTAAATACAAGAAATATACAATAATACTTTTTAAATATTTTTATGCTTTTAGTATTAATAATTTTTTTGCAGTTTAATTTAAGTATAATAATAAAGAATTACAACTGATGACCTTCTTAGTGCAAGCGGTATGAAAACTGCTTTGCGTAATAAGATCACGGGTTCGATTCCCGGTCGAGCTAATTTAGGAAAAGAAAATGGTATGATTGTGTAAAACTTATAGCATTCTGAATAAATAAATGTTGATGGTAAAGATATTGAATTTCATTGACAGCTACTAGCAATAACGAAAACACTCGGAGCCTAGAGGGTTGTTAGTCAAAGAGATGTACTTGAATGATGCTTTATTTCCAACTAATTTGAATTATCGAGAGAACTTGAAATGCGAGAGGATAAAAATTCTATTTTTAGTATTAAACTCTGCAAAGACATTTCAATTTAAGACGATGCTACAGATTAGCGGACGATCAGAGTTGCAGCGTCTTAGCGCACTTCAAGCATAGTTTCCGCCAACTCGCTCCGTAGAAAATTAAATTACTCACCTAAATAGCTTTTCCGGGGTAAATGTGTCACGGTGAAGACAATGTAAAAGGTAACATTTAGACGTTTCCTTGGCTGAGTTCCTATTGTTTCATTACCGCGCAGTTGCGATGAGTTCTGTTATCACAATCTTATTCGTGACTAGTTTCGCGACTTTGAAGTTTCCCAAGTCAAGTTTCTGCTTTGTTTGGAAATTGATCGCTATGTTCAGTTAACTGGATAGATTTGAATCAAAGATAGGAATTTATTTGTTATCACGGGTAATGGCAACTAATTTTTATTATTATAATTTAAAGGGTAATTAAAATTAGATGCAGTTATACTTCTGTATGGCTCTTCTGTTGTTGTAATGGGTATATATCATCATATCAGCATCATTATATCAGCCGTTAACCGTCCACTGTAGAACATAGGCTTCTCTCGTAAAGAGGGCTTTGCTAGTAGTAGCAATGCTTGGTAGGCGGGTTGACAACCGCAGTTAGACTTTTGGTGATGTTTTAAGAGGTTTGCTACTGCCAAACTCTTGACCACTAGGTTCCATTAGGAGTCTCCTACGACACCTACGGGAAAAGAAGGATTGCATAAATTATCTATCTTATGGTGTAGATCTAGAATAGTCAATATATAATTTTATCTTTTATAAGCATCAGAGTTTACATTGTGATGTTCATGGTGCTATTAATGCCTTTAGGTGTCCGTTACCACTGTTCAACAGGTGGTCAGTTTATTATTTAAACTGTTCCAAATAGTATAATTAATGATACTTTTGAAAAAAAAAACTATTAAGATTAAACTGGTGAATGAAAAATATTTTTGTTACAAAAAGAAAGAGTTCTGAAATTTTACATATTATATTTATACTATAGAATTATTTATCACACAAATAATTTGCATTTTAGAAACATTATCATCAAAAAGCTTTCAAGAGCTAGAAAATAAATACCTAAGTGGAAACCTAGCTAGAAACAAAATATCATAGACGACGCGACGCTCTCGTCTCCGAGTGTCGTAAAATGAAAGTAATTTTCTTTTGTAGATCATATTGAAGATTTCTTTTCATAAACTGTCTAGCTTATGAAACCCGCTATTTCACTAAAATTATAAATGTAGAAAGCTTGTGAAAATATTTAATTAAGTTGATTTTTATTTTTATAATAATCATTGCCGTTTCAACCTATCTACTATCTACTGGGAATAGATATTTTGCGTATTTCGTTTCTCATATTACTATAGCGTATATTACAACAATTATTTATTTTATTTTTTATTTAATTAATTTTATTGACTTAAAGAAAATATTTTACAACAGGCGGCCATCATGTAAGTAGCAGTTTTTACCAGTCAACCTTTGTATTTTGTAGTTATTGTAAAAACATTTTTGCGGATTTTCGTTCTGGTATTTTAAAAAAATCTATGACATTATAATGTTATAGATATTTAGAATTGCGAGTATATTTGAATATATTGGTTCTAATTTTTATTACGCAAATACTACCAGAGGATGACTTTGTACAAAAGTCGAATGCTTGCTACCTCTGTGCCATTCGTGTTTCAACACTGTAAAACACTGTAAAACTAACTTTACTTTCAATTACAACAACTGTAAAATACAAAAGTCCGCCTCAGCTTAGCAAGGGCTAACCCAAATTTTTCACTTTTCCATACGATTTTTTCCAAACAATTTTTTTCAAACAACTAAAAAAAAAACTAGACCCCAAGGTTCAGCCGTTCTGAAGCGATGCGTTTACATATACTCACAAACTTAATAGTCGAAGGATTGGAAGCAGTGTCTCTCTTCATCACTAAAACCTTAACTGCGGTTGCCAATCCTATTGCCAAGCGTGTGAATTACTGGTAAAACTTCTCTTATGGGGAAAGCCTATGTTCAGCAGAGGATGGTTAACGGCTGATATGATGATGACGATGATACTTAATTGGACGTGCTGTACGCTATTTTAAAGGTTTATAACATTATACATTCTGTTATAGACTTTTTTATTGTAAAAAGTCTAAACTCTAAACCACAAAGCGAAACCTTATATACCTATAATATAAAATATTATATTTACTACAATGACTGAAACTGAAAATTGCATAAAATATCAACAATTACTACCATCAATATTCTTATTAGCTTGGTAGCGGTTTCATTGCTTGTTCCCGTACTTACTGTTGACTGTTTGTTGCGGTTTGTTATTTATTTGTTACATTGCGGTTAATTGTCACTGGTTTAACTACGCTGATATAATTTTATGTAGTAATTTTATTTATTTAATGTTTTTTTTTTATAGCATGTAATAATTTCAGGTAGAAATTTATTGATAATGGACTAATTGTCTTAAATTTGTTAATAAAACTAAATAAAAAAGCATATTTAATAATTTTTATTCTTTTATGCTTGAACAAAACTGAGATCCTGAGCTTGTTAACACAAATCGTTAGCAATCTCAAGATATTGTTTATCTTAATTTACAAAGGTAAGGTTATAATATACAATTAGTAGAATCAAAACGATCTAGTCTAGTTGAAGTTGCAAAATATGGTAGAAAAGAAATATTTAAAATAGTGTTCAATAAAAAGGAAATTTAATCTAAAGATCAAGTTTTTACCATTTACTTTAGGTTTAATTTTGTCTGTTGGTTTGCGACCAAGCGAATTTAATAGTCGAGGGATAAACAGCAGCATCCCTCTTAAAATATCACCAGAAGTCTAATTGTAGTTGCTTACCTGCCTGTCAAGTGTTGGAACTACTAACAAAAACCCCTCTTATGGGGGAGGCATATGGTCAGCAGTGGACAGTTAACGGCTGAAATGTTGATGATGAAATTCTTCGATTAAAAAATTCATCAAAATTAACGACAATATATAACTCATTTGAGTTATATGAAATAAGTTATGTAGGTATTTTTATTTACAAGTACCTACATACTCGTAAAAATAAATTATACAGCCGAATTGTAGTTCTATTTGTAGTTCATTAAAATTATACTAGATTTTTAAGTCCGTTAAAACAGTATTTTCATTGTTACAGGGGAGACGCTAATAGTGTGGTTCTGCTTGGATTACTTCTCGGATTTCCTGTACTTAGCGGATATATTGTTTCATTTTCGAACGGGCTACTTGGAAGACGGCGTGCTACAAACCGACGCGGCAAAGCTCAGAGCGCATTACATGAATTCTACAACCTTCTACATCGACTGCCTCTGCCTCTTGCCTCTGGACTTCCTCTACCTCTCCATTGGGTTCAACTCCATCCTGCGATCGTTTCGTCTCGTCAAAATATACCGTTTCTGGGCATTCATGGACCGCACCGAGCGACACACGAACTATCCAAACTTATTTAGATCTACAAGTTTAATTCATTATTTATTAGTGATATTCCATTGGAACGGGTGCTTGTACCATATAATATATAAGAACAATGGGTTCGGTAGTAAAAACTGGGTGTATCATGATACTGAAACGGCGGATGTGGTGAAACAGTACCTACAAAGTTATTATTGGTGCACTTTGGCGCTAACAACAATAGGTGAGTGTTTTACTTCTATTATTGTAGTTTAATTTTTATTATAATAAAAATCACAGGATAACCAATAGTATGTATTCTATAACTAGCATTGTTAATTTTTTTATATATACTAATATTGTATGTAAGAAAGACTTGATTATTTGTTTATAATGGATACACTCAAAAACTAGTTAACTGATTTTAAAATTTCTTTCACCTAAATATATAAAGTTACATTATCAAGGATATATTATGATAGGCTATATTTTTTTTCCAAAAAAAAAATGTACCTCTGAGAAACCAGGCGGGATCCCTAGTTGATTATTTTAAATTGTAAAAATAACAAATATTGATTTACGTGTATTTTTGTCGATAATGTTACACTAGTTTATTCTAGCATTCTTGACAAAAATACTCGTAATAATAATAATCTTTTATTTTTACAATTAAAACATAATATAATACGTATTTCTCATACTTTTGAAAATAATAGTCCAGCAATTTTTTCTGTGTTCGTAAAACAAAGGTATTTGTTTACAAGTACATCTTTGTAATTTATTGTTTTTCATAACAAGGTTGTAATGCTAAAGGGCCTCATCGCTTATTCTGTAGGGTTGTAATAATAACTATTTGGTCCTGTTCACTTCCATGGACCCTCCGTGGGTTCCTTAATTTGCCTTTGAAGATGGGAATATCGCTTACAGAAACTTTAGGGCCTCTGACATATAGCAGATAGTACTCCACATAACAGCAGGGCATCCAGAGTTATAATTAAGTTAAATTTGCCTTATGTTGTGTTAATTGATCATGACGGTAGCAGCGCCCTCTGGTGCCAACATTAATCAGTGACATTATACACTGTAATCCTTCGTGACAGCGTAAGCCTTTCATCGATCCATCATATTTCAATGAAGACAGATTGAGGCCTTTGCTATATTTTTAAAATGTGTAAAAGCATTCGTTATTTAGGGCCCTATTCTCATATATATGGTTATATATGAAACAATATCGTTTGGGATTATATGTAAGCAATATAATAAAAAAAAAATAATACACAGCTTTCAATTTCATTTTATACGCAAGTTATTGTTTCATTTTATAACTTACTGTAGTTATTTCGCAAAAAAAGACGTATTAAGTAATATTTTTTTCTATGATTTCATAGAGATTATGTCGTACTTAACATATGAACAATAAAAAACAAAAACATTGTAAAATGTCAAAAAATACCTACCACATATAATAAAAATTTTACAAGTAGTCATATGGACTTGTAAAGTTGCATTATGTTTATTTATTTCAAAACTAATAATTTATTATAATAAAATATATTTATTTGTCCATTTGTTTCTATACATAATTATGTATATAGTTATATACATATATTTAAAATGTATTTACTCTATGAATTATATCTGTATTAGATAACTGAATAATTAAACATAATACTTAATAATAATGAATAAATAAAAAATAAATAAGTATTTAAAATTTGAAGTCCAAGAAATTTTATTCTATGACTTTTGCGATAGGAAAAGACTTAGAATTGTATATATTGGAGGCATGATTTGCTTTCATAGCATTTCTCTTACGAAACGATTCCGTTTTATTCAAGGATGATTTATTCCCTAGTTGTTTTCCCACTGTGGTGTGTAGTTCTTATGGTTCAATGGATATTACGCTCAAAGGACCATCTGATAAAAAGGACAGTTTGCTTTCAAAGCCAACTGAGTCGAAATAATCTATACATACTTATATATAACACATAAAAAGGCGGAATATACCTTTATAAATTAGCGATTATTTTCATTCAAAAGACATCTAGCAAGTATAAAAATAAAAAAAATCGATTTTGATGAAACAGAAACGAAGACGGGTTAACATTATAAGAAGATAGATACATAGATAGATAGATAATCTTTATTGTTTCCTCCAAAAGATTACAATAGTAAACTTATTATAAATATAAATAATTACAAGAAATAATCACAATGAGAAAACAATGGGCGACCTTATCGCTAAGAGCGATCTCTTCCAGGCAACCTTTGGATGGAAAGGAATAATTATAAACAATTTGGAATTGAAAGAATTTTTAAGCAATTAAGTTTAGTATTTCTCAAATGATTTACTTATCGATAAACAGTATCTGGCAAATGCTTTGATAGATATGTTTCTTTGTTTTTGTTTTGTAGATAAATCTATAAATAATTAAGTATAGTAATAAATCGATGATATTAGACCAGCTTTTTTTTTACGTTGGATGTATTAAAATATCATTAATGATATAGAGTTCTAATGAAAATTATATTTTATGTAATTATTTAATATTTAGATATTTATCAAAATATGGTGCATATATCTAATATCTAATATGTACTGTATTCACGCGGCCTTTACTCAAATTTGTACATTCAATTTCTTGTTTCGTTTCTTCTAAAAGAGATCATATTACTTGTAATGGTACTGGCATATTGTTAGTACCGATTGTCTTTGTCTTTATCTATAAAAACTACATTATAATCAAACTAAAAAAAAGTTAATTAAAATGCCATAAGAAGTTCGCTTTTATAAAAAAAGAAAAAAATCTATATTTGATGTGAACAATTTAATAAACTTTTTTTTCATAGTACTTATAAATATTTTTAATTTTATAAAGGTATCTAGAATTTGAATCTAATCGTCAAAGAAAAGATGGTTTTTGGGAAAGCCTCGTCATGCATGTTTATAATAGTCTTTATAAAAATAATTTTACTTCGTATCTAGCAGGATTTGGCTACGTCAAGGAAAAGGGTACTTTTAGTCCACACAAAATTAATATGAGACCTATGCAGTCAATCTTATCTATTGCAAAAATAATTGTTAAAATCGATTGGCGAGGTAATCGTGTAATATAAAAAAAAAATATGGATAAATTGAAAATCTCTTTCTTTCGGTCCTATTGAGTAAGTATTAAATAAATCTGAGAGAAATCCACGAGTATTTTATGTAAACATTTCTAGCTATAAATACATCGGAAGCATGGGAGGAAAACACTCTGAAATTTCTTTAACTTAATAACTGTTTTGCTGTTAACTTTTTGGTTAACGGCAAATACCATTATTTGTTATAGAATGTTGTTGTTTCTGTTTATTTATTGGTATTCTTCCTTCCAATAATGTTTCGCATTCATTCAACACATTTCTGCTTGAGGATTTATTTAAATTAAATTTTATTTTTTTAATAATTCTTGCTATTGTATAATATCAAATCATAAATAGGTCAAAGGTTAAAACATAAAAAGATTTAAGAAAATGCTTATTACTCTAATAAGTCTGTTCTAGTAAACTTTTCGTAAAATACAGATAATATATGTATCATATTATATACAGTTAAAATTATGAATATATTTTTTTTATAGTTTCTTTTTTCATCATCTTGATCATCATTGTAACTAGTTAATATAGATACTTGCTGTGTCAATTTATTTACTCGTTTAGCCGTAATTGAGTAACAATATACTTGTACAAAAATCTTCACATATACGAACTTTTGGTTATCTCAGTAGGCCTACCTCAATATAAATACTACTCTCTTAATAGATTCCGCTATAAACTTTCTTTATTCTTTATTGTACACAAAAAGGTTATTGCAATGTAAAAACAAACATAATAGTGCACAAGGGCGAGCTTATCTCCAATAGAGATTCCTTCCAGCAAACCCAATATGAGAAAAGTGACAGTTCATTAGTAGTTACAGTCATACATGTGTACCAATCGACTTAAATGTTATAGTTAAAAATAAATAAATAAAATATCTTTACAATTGAAAAGACCGATAGGTATAAATAAAAATATATATATAAGTAAATACATATAAATATATATGTATATATATATATATATATATATATATATATATATATATATATATATATATATATATATATATATATATATATATATATATATATATATATATATATATATATATATATATATATATAAATATAATACATCAGCATTGTGAGAGGTAATAATTCTTTAGACGTGTTTTGAAAATCCCAATGCTTGGGCTATTTCTAATTTCAACTTTATATCTCATAATTATTAATGAATATAAGACCGCCTTTTGAAGTACTACATGTTCCATAGACCGGAACTACATACCTGTAGGTAATCAGAATAATATCATAGAACAGAGACATGAATATGAATATTATTACCCTTTTATCAGGCTTTACGCGGGAAAGACGTCATTGTCGCTGAGTCGCCTTTGAGGTTCCGAGTCGTCCTTTGTAGTATATAACTTAAGTAATATATACATTCGTTGAGTTGTTCAGCTGAATCATAAGGACTCGCCGAGAGGTTAATTAAGTTTCATCGGTATGCGAACAAAGCTGTTGCTTGTCTGTAGCAGTTTCATAAAGTTGCGAATGACTGAGGAGCTGTCCGATATTGCGGCCGCTCATTTTACTGTTTCAAACAGCTATATTTTAATTATAGTATAATGACAATTTTTTTGTCATAATAATTGAAATGTGGTTGTACCTCGTTTTTTTATACAACTGCGATGGTTTAGACCAGAGGGAGACTTTGTATAAAAGTTGATTGCTTGGGTACCTCTGTTCCATTCGTGTTTCAACCGTAAAGCAGTTGTGTTTGCATGGCTGTGTTTCGGTTTGAAGGGTGGGATATGGTGTGAATTTACTGGGTACGGAGGAATAATACCTGAATCCTTAGGAATGGCAACGCATGGGGGGTATCATGGGCGAAACAGTATACTCTGTTATATCCATGGTACTGCTCATGTCTATAGGCGACGGATACCACTTTCTATCAGATGGGCCGTCGGCTTGTTTGCTATTCTAAGTTGAATAAAAAAAACATATTAGAAAGTGATTACTATGTATCACCTATAGATATGAGTGGCATCATCATCATAAAATATACTCGAACGCCTATAAAAACTCTCATAATCATCACTTTACCAGCCGTTAATTGCTCGCTGCTGAACATAGGCCTCTCCTTCTTTGTTAGTTACTA